CTGGCCCTCCCGTTCCCCAGACCTGAATCCAATTGAGCACATCTGGGACATCATGTCTCGCTCCATCCACCAATGCCACATTGCACCCAGACTGTCCAGGATTTGGGGGATGCTTTAGTCCAGGTGTGGGAGGAGATCCCTCAGGAAACCATCTGCCACCTCATCAGGAGCATGCCCAGGCATTGTAGGGAGATCATACAGGCACCTGGAGGCCACACACACTAGGAGGCCTCATTTTGACTTGTTTTAAGGACATTACATCAAAGTTGAATTAGCCTGTAGTGTTTTTTTCCACTTTAATTTTGAGTGTAACTCCAAATATAGACCTCCATGGGTTGCTAGATTTGATTTCCATTGATAATTTTTGTGTGATTTTGTTGTCAGCACATTCAACTAAGTAATGAACAAAGTATTTAATAAGAATATTTCATTCATTCAGATCTAGGATGTCTTATTTTTGTGTTCCCTTTATTTTTTGAGCAGCATAGATACATTAGTTTGGGTTGGGCATAGACTACCCAACCAAAGTAGTTCTGTATATCAGACATTCCTGTACATAATTTTTTGGTCTCCTGTAACAATTACTAATTCATATTGCTCCTATTTTTCCATCATGCTAATCCTTTTGATTGGACTAAGTTCTTGTTGATACGAATAAATAAATAATTTTGAATTCCTTTGTGCTGAAGCCCAACTTAATAATAATGTCTCTGTACATGTGGCACCATGGTTAAGGTGCTTAGACTTCCTCAGCCATGGAAGTTTGCTGGTTTCCTTGGCCCAACCCCACTTTATGTTGTTGATTGGGAAGAGGGTAAAAATGGGGGAACAGGAATGCTTCATTCTTCCGGTTCCTTAAACCTTGCTGCATATGCTATTTCCTCTGCATTTTCCTCATCACGACCAACACATTTCAAACCTATGTACTTTTTTCCTATCTTGAGGATGGTGAGAAAGCACATTGGATGTGTGGGAAAAACTTGTAATTGCTGGATACAATTTTCTTTTTGTTTCTCTGTCCTGCATGACAAAATCAGCTTCAATGGAAATCCTGCAGAAGTGCTAATATTATGTTCTTTGATTCATTTGCTGAATATAAAGACAGATAGATAACTCTACAAATTCTTCCATACAAAGTTTCTTTTATTGGATTATATTAGGTATCCTCAAGGTAACTCACAGTTATGTCGAGATGCATCTAATGTCCAATCCTTTGCATAGTTGAAATTGTAGTGTAAAATAATAGTAATCTTTCTATCCCATATTTCATCCCATAGTAATAGAAGCAGGGGTAGAGATGCTAGCATGAGGCTGGGTTCAGGCAAGAGTAAAGAAACCTCCCACAACTCACCAAGGGTCAATTCAATGACCAATCGGGGTTACAGATGTGGCCACATGACACGAACTACATTTCTCAGGATACCTAAACTACATTTACCATGATGCATTCCCTTAAGGGGACAGCTCCCAATTCCTTACAAACTATCCAATTCCCATTAACTATAACTGGCTGTTCAACACAGCTAAGTAAACCAATAGTCCCCAATTGTTTTTACTCATCAATCCCTTCATGAAGTTTCAGATTCTTTATCAATCTCCAAACCTGTATTATATGAAAATAATATAATCAGTAATGCTTTAATTAATCTGTTTAATCAAAAGTTGATCAAATGACTCTGCAACCATCACAAATACATGCCAATACAGTTGCCAAGCATCCAAATTTTGTTCATGTGACCATGAGGATGCTGCAACAGTTATAAATATGAAAAATGGTCATACCATTTTTGTTGGTACCATTGTAACTTTGGTCACTAAAGGAATGGTTATACATCAAGGACTACCTATAGACATGCTGGTCTAAATTGAAGGAATATCAAGATAATTACAAATCTACAATAATATGGGCTCTGTACAATTTGCAGCCATGGAAGATAATTAATTAGGCAAGTTGCCTATTTAGGAATTCTCCTTTATTTGATTTCAGAATGGATCAATTCAATGAAGCTTATTATAGCAATTCCTGTAGAAAGGATTCAGCAATCTTTAGGTAATACAGCCCCCTTGATGACTGACTAATGACTCTCCCAAACTACCAGTGCCAACTTCTGTTCATATGACCAAATATTAATGATAGTTACCAACAAGCATCTTGGTACATGAAAGGGACCCAATTTTATTTAACCACTCTTTGAACTACAAAGTTGTGTGCTTTTGTACTGAAGTGCAATACAAATGGCTAAGTCATGATACATTTTCACCATAATTTGTTAAATAAGTGCCTAGGTTCCCGTTACATATTAAATCGAAAGCCAGTCAGCCAGTTGTGCCTTAGGCTCTTCTCCATCGCTGAGTTGAAATACTATACGGTACACCCAACTCTGAGTAGGCAGAAACTGTACACTGCTGATTTCCTATCTCACCTAACCGCCTCCAACAGATTTTAAACAGTTTGAGGTTGCTATGGCTGTTGTTAAAACAAGGAAGAAAAATATTATTTTCCCACCTGTTAGGCTAAGGATAATTTAATTCTTTCACTTATGGCCTGGGAATGAGATGAAGGCAGGGTCAGAGGGATGCAAAAGGAAAAAGGGGGCAGGACATACAGGCTGTCCTGGACTTACAACAATTTATTTAATAACCAAAATTATGGCACTGAAAAATGTAACAATTGATCTTCGCACTTACAACTGTTGCAGAATTCCCAGAATCACATGATCAACATTTGGGCACTTGGCAACTGGCATGTATTTACAACTATTACAGTGTCCTGGGGTCAGCTGAATATCATTTGTGACCTTCCCAGCCATCTTCTGGCAATGGGGGAAGCTGGATTCCTTTAACAACCTTAAACACTCACTTCACAATGGCAGCAATTCGCTTAACCATGGCATAAAAAAAAAAGCCGTAAAATTGGGATGGTTTTTCCCAGTAATGATGTTATGACTGTGGGAATTGGATCATAAGGAAGGCTGAGCACCGAAGAATCGATGGTTTCAAGTTGTAGTGCTGGGGAAGACTCTTGGGAGTCTCTTGCACTGCAAGGAGATCAAATCAGTCAATCTTAAAGGAAATCAATCCTGACTGCCCTTTGGAAGGACACATACTGACACTCAAATACTTTGTCCACCAAATGAGAAGAGAGGATTCATTGAAAAAGGCCCTGGTGATGGGAAAGACTGACGGCAAAAGGAGAAGGAACAGCAGAGGATGAGATGGTTAGATAGTGTCATCAATGAATTTGGGCACACTCTGGGTGACAATGGACAGTTCCTGGGGTCATGGCTTAAGTTTCCAAACAACAAAAATTCACCTAACAATCATCTTGCTTAACAACAGAAATTCTAATCCCATTTGTGGTTGTACTAGCCGTATAGGTACTCCTCAACTTACAACCACAATTGAACCCAACATCTGTGTTGCTAAGTGAAACATTAATTAAGTGAATTTTGCCCTATTTTACAATCTTTCTTACCCCAGTTGCTAAGTGAATTATTGCAGTTTTTAAGGTAGTGTCATAGTTTGTCAAGTGAATCTGATTTTCCCATTGACTTTGCTTGTCAAAAGATTGCAAAGGATAATCACATGACCATGGGACATTGCAACCGTCAGAGCTATGAATCTGAATTTTGATCACATGACCATGGGGATGCGGCAACGGTTGTGTGAAAAATTGTTATAAAAATTGTTATAAGCGGGGTGGGATTCAGCCTGTATGGACCGGTAGTTCTGGCGATGAGTTGGCCCCACCCATCCGCCCCTGTGCTAGTCTGTCCTATATTTCATTTGAAACCCAGCTGATAGGCGCAGCAGAGCAGATTGCCACGCCTCAGCTATTTTACTCCCCGGGGCTGCAGTAGTAGGTACACGTGCGCTCACCGAACCAGCTATTACACCAGTTGAATCCCACCATTGGTTATAAGTCACTATTTTCATTGTAACTTTGAAAGGTCATCAAATGAGCTTCTGTAAGTCGAGGATGACCTGTAGTTGTCTCATGGCTAGAGGCAAGTGGGTTGGGCCACCAGTGAAAATGCTTGTTTGCCAGAATCTGTTTATTTCCATCTTTTCTTAGAACAGCTGTTGAAATACAAGAGAATTTCATTAGTTACGATGAATAAGGGGGAGATGTTCAAGGTCAGTTTTAATTCAACCTGTCACCTGATATTACCCAGAGGTTCTGACATGTGCGTTTGTTGTTACATTAAAACCCAATAATGCAGGCAGAGGGATCTCTACAGAGCAGTGGTGGGATTCAAATTTTTTTTACTACTGGTTCTGTGGGCGTGGCTTGGTGGGCATGGTGTGGCTTGGTGGACGTGGCTCAGTGGCATGGCAGGGGAAGGATACTGTAAAATCCCCATTCCTTCCCCACCTCACTCACCTGCTTTCCAGCTCTGTTCTCCTGTGCAGGGCAACAAAAGAAGACCCAGCGGATTAACTGGAACTTGGGATGCAGAGAATAGATGGGGATGGGGCCAGTCAGAGGTAGTATATGCAGGTTCTCCAAACTGTTCAAAATGTCCACTACCAGTTCTCCAGAACTGGTCAGAACTGGCTGAATACCATCTCTGCTACAGAGTTCATATAAAACACTACCTTACTTTACCAGGAGGTTGGAAGAACACATTTATCCCGGAGCTTTTATAAGAGTTTGCTAAAAGTCTGTTTTCAATTCCCCAGAAACCCTGATTCCCCCCCTCCCACAAATTAAATAAAAAAAAAAGAGGGGGGGGAGGTCAAAAAGTGTGTAAGTTTGTGAAGAAGTTCGCTCTCTATTTTTAACACTTTTTCCTTCTGAAGTGTTTAAAAACTCCAGATGCTTTCTCAGGTCTCGCAGGGCATTAAAAAAAGAAAAGACCGGAATAAGCTCTGTATAATATAGCCTAGCTGTGGTGAAACATTAACCCACTTTCGCTTCAAGGCGCTAGCCTCCCTTGTGGCGCTCCACCCCATTCTGAGGGCAACGTTTTTCCCTTATCGTGGCCATTCCCTCAATTGCCTTGACACGCAGCTCTAAAGGAGCGAAAGGCGTCAAGCTTATTGCTCTGCCGACAGGATGCCAGCCCTTTTTTTCCTGACCTACGAATCCAAAGTCTCCGGATAACTCAAGAGCCGGCGAGCGGGATTTCTAAAGGGAGACGGGAGACGCTTCATCCCTTTCGCAAGCGACCGACGCGCGGGATCCTTCGCCCCGCAAAGCATCCCTTTTTCCCGGGCAAGAGCGAGCACCAAACGCGCCCAGGAACTTCAAAACCCGGGCAGAGAGGGCGCGCGAGCCCTCCTCGCGCTTCCTTTGTGTCTCCAGCGGCCCGCGGCAGACCACCGCCGCCTGCGGAGCTTTCCTTGCCCCTCCCGCTCCAACTAGCCCGCCTAGGCTCCCCTCCCGCCCACCGGCTTCCTCTTGTCCTGGCGGAGGGAAGAACGTGTTCGCCTCAGGGCCGGCAAGATGGCGGCATCGGCGGGGTCTGGCCCCGGGGAGCCCGCCGTGGGGTCGGGTGGGGAGCCCCGCGCTCTGTCCCCGGAGGAGATCGCCCTCAGGCTGCAGAGCACAAGGCGGGAGCTGAGCAACAGGCGCAAGATTCTGCTGAAGAACCTGCCGGCCGAAAGCAGCAGCCAGGTGGGTGGCGAAGAAGCAGAAGCCGCGGCGGGGCAGACCAAGGCGCGGGGAGCCCCGGAGGTGGGAAGAGGCGAAGGGGCCATATCGGGAGCCGGAGGGGTGGGGAGAACCGCGGCGGGACCTTGGTGCCCTCTGAACTACAATTGCACTACCATCCCCTCAGGTTTCCCCTCTGATGTTGGGGAATTATGACCGATAGTCCAAAGTTCCGGACCGTCCCAGTGTTGGGAAAGCAACCTTGAGCACTTTCCATAGTGAGTCGGGGAGAGTTTTCTATGGGGAGAGGTGATATCCAGGCTTTCCCGGGTTAGCGAAACCGGTTCTTTGACTCCTGTTAACACCGGCTAATCGGTGGGGCAAGTGCCCCTCATAGAAGAAGAGACGGAGGCGCCCAAGTTCTTGGAAGGAGAGAAGGAAACCTTTGTCCCAAAGGTGCTTTTTTTTTTTTTTCAAGAGGCAACTGGACTTTCTTGTTTTTCTTGGAAGACGTTTGGCTTCTCGTGCAAGAAGCTTCTCCAGCGGGGACTGGATGGTGGGGGAAGCGAAGAAGAAACCGAAGAAGAAAAAGTTGAAGAAGCTTCTTGGACGAGAAGCCAAACGTCTTCCAAGAAAAACCAGAAAGTCCAGTTGCCTGGGGGCGGGAGGGAAAGCACCTTATCCAGGACAAAACCGTGTCCTGGATGACTGAAAATCTCCATAGACATTGAAGAAGACTTTGGATCTCTGGAAGAAAAAGATCCGGGGAGATTTAGATAGCAGTGTGAGTAGGAATCTCCTCGAGAGAATAGTTAGGAAAAGAGCTAAGCCTGGAAGTCACAGGTAGTGGAAAGTAGCCCTTGTAGGCAGGCTGCACTTCACAATTTTATTTTTTGTAACAGAACTGCAGTGTGCCAAAGAAACTATCTCTGCTTTAGTGGCAGCAAAGCATACAAAGTTCTGGCTGGAGCTCTCTGTAACTTATAGAGTTCTCTGGCAATAGAAGAGTAAGTGTGGAGCGTTGTTATTGTGTCTGATGGCACAGTCAGCCCCGTGTTCAGACTGGATTTGGCATTTTTATTGCTCTGAGGTCCTTCCCAAGGATAGGCAGATGTTGTTGTTTGATAGCGTTAAAGCTATCCTTGCAGGATGCAAGGTGTTCCAAGTATAGCTGCCATTTTCCTTTTTAAAAAAATAATAACCTCTCTGCTTTGGGGGGATTATACTGTATATTTTGTTGAATAATACAAACAGGAGTGTCCCCCCCTCTTCCCCTTTAGATTGAGACAGACATCCCATAAATGGAAGCACAGTCAGGATTCATGACTGCTAGAGTAGTAAAAAAAAAAAAAGGAAAAGGAAATACTTCTGTTCTCTTGTCTGGATAGCAGATGTAACCAATATCTGGACTTTATCTTATTGAGAGTTTGGAAATGCATCTTGCATGTTCTCCTTCTCTCCAAATAAAGCATTATTTATGTTGTCTGACCATCTCTTTTTTTCACATTAGAGATACAAATTCTCAAGACTTCTATTTATTTTATTTTTCAGGAATGAATTTATAAATTTCGTATAACTTTCCATTGCTAACATTGATCAAGTTTCTAGCTCCTAAATGTCATTTTGCTTCTATGTGATTGTAAAATATATTGATAATAGAAAAATATTCAAACCTATGGGGCCCATCTGTATAAAAGAATTTCAGAGTTGACAGATGCTATCTACATTACAATTTGAAATTGTAACTTTAATTTTTAAGTCTGTTATAGCTAAAAATTAAGTGTGCAGAGAATCTTGGCACTAATGCATTATTTGTCTCTAGAAAGGTAATTAAATTATCAATTAACAAATAATTTGCTATTTTTGTATATCTAAACATGAGCAATTGGAGCAAATCTGCTTTTGTTTTTGTTTTTTAAAATAGTGTGTGTAGGTTGGACTAAGGATGTTAATCCACAACATTTTCTTCACAATATGAAGTGTTTTCAGAGTTAAAACCTCAAGAATGGTATTTAATTTTTCAAACTTTTATTCTATATAGCAAATGGCTTTTAAAAATCTCTTGTTTTGGAAGAGATTTTGAGAGGTTTAAAAAACTTAAGCCTGAAGTGTGGAAATAGTTGTACAGGATATCCGGATAAAGGTGAAGAAAAAAATCTGGCTTTAATAAACAAGATCTATCCTGAAAGTTAATTAATACAGAATTGCAGTCAATTGTTCACTTTTTCCAGATCTTTATGGTTCTATTTTTTGCATAGTACTGTATTTTATTGTGAAGGACGATAAAGTATCCTGCCTAGTACTTTACACCGTACTGTGTTTTATTGTGACATTGCAGGCGGAGAGTGTGGGTATATTCTAATATCTTTTTCCATTAAGTACTAATGGAGTATCTCTGCAGAGATATGCTCAATATAAGAAATATTTCCAATGGCTTTCATTTGTTGTGAACACTAGTTCAATTAGCTTTTTTGAACTGACTTTTTAATATTGGTAAAATAATTATAAAAGTATCTTACTTTGAAAGTTAAAATTTCTGTTACAATTTTATATCACAATAAACTGTCCCTCGTGTGTTGGTCAGTATAATTTAAATATTATTTAGTAAAATATAGGTGCCAATCTTACCAAAATTGGTCAATTAGGTTTACATATTACTTAGAAGACTGAAAAAACTTCATTTTTAGTCCTACATAGAATGACAAGATTGCATATTCTGAAGAGGAAGCACATAGTTTCCTGCTGATTTTGGGTGCTTAGGCTCATGAAAGAGACTGAAACATTAAAACTACTGGTATCTAAATATCACTTTAAAGTTTTATACTTTATGCTTTATGACTATTGACACCTACAGGAAAACAATTTCAAAATACTACCTCAGAGATGGGAACTACTAAAAGAGTTAGCCTAGCAGGATGATAAAAATACTGCATATAATATTTTTTTTCAAAAAAAACCCCAAACCCTGAATCTTAAGTCTCCGATAAAAACTGGCTGGAAAACTTTGGGCCTGCCATTGTCTCTCCTAATTCATCTCATATGATGGTTGTCATGGGGAAATAGAGACAGGGGTATTAAGTATGTTCCCTTCCTTGAACTGATCAATTAAAAAAAAAGTAGAATTAAAATTAGCAGCAGCAGCAACCACCTATGATGCTTTGTCTATATTAAAAAAACCTAGCCCATATTGATATGACTCAGAGTACTCTGGCTGCTTCCTCTCAAAGCCCAAATAACTGATTACACTTGTTGATAATAGCAGTGAAGAATGAGCACATTTTTAGAATGATCCCTTGGAAAGAGAAGGGCAAATTTCCACATCCAAAGAATATCTTTAGGATCACTGCTTTCCAGCTTGAGAAGGGGAGACAGTCAACCCACATTTCTTTCAATAATCCTCTTTAAAACCCTTGTCTTCCTGCTGCTAATGGTAGGGAGAAGGCAGAAATCTGGAGCACAGCTGATGGAAAAAGAAAGGATGTGGCTGAATCTCTGAGGCCCATGACAAACACCTGTTGCAACTACTGTTGAAGCAAAATTTCATCATTAGCTACAGCTACTTGGTAGCTGTTTTAAAAAATAATTTGACACATTTTTCCTGTGAAATGGGATTTAGATTTCAAATTGTAAAAAATAGAAGAGTTATTTGAAAGATGTTTCCATTTTTATTACATGTGAGGCAGTGGTGGGATTCAATTTTTTTAACTTTTTGATGGCCACTATTGCCCAACTGCATTTCTTTAGGTGATTTCTGCTTTTGGTTCACAAAAGGCAGTAATTCTGATATTACTTATCTTCCCTCTTATTTTCCTAGGGCACTGAGAAACTTCACATAGTATAGCCATAGACCATAATATGGTCAAACAAATGGCAACTTCAAATCTCAACAAATAAATGCTCTATCTTACATATTGGCAAAAAAAATCAAAAAATAAAATACAAGCTGAATAGTCAAGACCTTGTTGATGACAAAAACTTTGTCAAAGACCTTGGAGTACTCATCTCAAATGATCTAAGTGCTAGAACCCACTGTAACTACATAGCCAAAAAGGCATTAAGAGTTGTTAACCTAATCCTGTGTAGCTTTTTCTCTGGTAATATCACTCTATTAACTACAGCATATAAAACATTTGCTAGACCAATACTTGAATACAGCTCATCAGTCTGGAACCCTCATTACATATCTGATATTAATACAATTGAGAAAGTCCAGAAATATTTTACGAGAAGAGTCCTCCACTCCTCTACTTGTAGTAGAATACCTTATGCCACCAGACTTGAAATTTTAGACCTAGACGACCTAGAACTACGCCGCCTTCGGTTCGATCTAAGTATAGTACATAAAATTATATATTGCAATGTCCTACCTATCAATGAATACTTCAGCTTCAACCTAAACAACACAAGAGCATGAAATAGATACAAACTAAAGATAAACCGCACCAAACTTGATTTCAGGAAATACGACTTCAGCAACAGAGTAGTCAATGTCTGGAATACTCTACCTGATTCTGTGGTTTATTCCCCAAACCCCAAAATCTTCAACATTAGACTGTCTACTATTGATCTCACCCCTTTCCTAACAGGTCTGTAGGGGGCATGCATAAGCGCACCAAAATGTGCCTACCGTCCCTGTCCTATTGTTTCTTTTTTTCTTATTTGTATCCATGTATTTATAACCATGTTTATACTTATACCTATTATCTAATAATTGTTTGACAAAATAAATAAATAGCAATAAGTAGCATTCCAAGGATCTTTGTGTAGGATAATAATAATTATTGTATACATGCAATTTCTCCCTTTGTAATATTTAAATGATTTAGCTTTCAAAGGAAAAAAAGTGTTCCACTTTTTCTCCTGTAAGTTGTTTCCTGAGTGTGTCTATTAGCATTTAAGCATATTTAATTTAATATAATGTGTTTTATCCCAAATGCCTGGTTGAGTAGCTGATTAATTGCTCCTTAACTATGCCGCACACTTAGAGGCCACATTTTTTGATTGCTTTTCTTTTATATCACTAC